TAGGGCTGGGGGATGTGTGAGGGGCTGGGGGTGGGCATGGGGCAGTATGGGGTATGCTTGGGGGGTATGGGGCTGGGGAGTGTCTGTAGGGCAGTATGGAGTATGTGTATGGGGATATAGGTGCAGTATGGGGTACAGGGCTGGGATATGTCTGTGGGGCAGGATGAGGCTGGGGCACACACACAGAGGAGCAGTGTAGGGGTAGAACATGTGTAGGAAGGTATATGTGTGGAGGCAGTGGTGTAGGGAGAGGAATGGTACATCCAGAGGGATACCAGGGGCTGCTGCTTGCCCAGATATTCCCACGATAAGGCTCTGCCCTGCTAATTCCATTTTAAATCACTGAGGCTAATCCTGACTGTGTTCTCCAATCAGCATCTCAAGTCCTCTGCCTTGTTCCTTTAATTCCCTATCTCTCCTGCACCAAGTCTCCTCTGCTGTTTTCTGATTTACCCTCTATTTAGTTCATCACTCCTTATGTTTGTGGAGGTTTTTTCCTCTGCCTTCCCATTAGGAGTGTTGGCTCTCCTTAATGATAACTGCATAAAAGGAGAAGCTTGAAAGGCTCAAACCCTGCAGAGAAAATAAATTATCCTTATGCTGTCAGTTGATAAACCTGCTCATTAAATCTCCTCCATCACATCTTTTCCCAAGGATTACTGGCCTAGGCTTGCACAGGAACTGCTGGTCACCCCATGTGCTTTTAATTCAGCACTACCATTCCCAAACAATCCATTCACCTGCTGACAGATCTGCTTAGTCCTTTTCCTCTCCCTTCTCCCAGGCTGGGAAGGAGGAGCTGTCCCTCCCCAGCTGACCCGGAGGCAGAATTCCCTGCTGACCTTGAGCTCCCAGGAAAGAATGCCCAGTGGAGATGACTCTTCTTTGCTTCCTCCCCGTGCTAAATGTGCTTCTTCCCATTTTTTAGCTGATTTGGACTGAAAGCAAAAGGCTGACTAAGGTGACGGATGTGGTCGAGAAAAGAGGACCATACATCATGAGCAAACCTCCCTCCATCCAGGCCAAGCTGAGTAAGTGCTCGGTGGACTTTGCTGGGATTTGGAGTATCATTTCCACCTCTCTCTTTGCTTCCTCCCCGTGCTAAATGTGCTTCTTCCCATTTTTTAGCTGATTTGGACTGAAAGCAAAAGGCTGACTAAGGTGACGGATGTGGTCGAGAAAAGAGGACCATACATCATGAGCAAACCTCCCTCCATCCAGGCCAAGCTGAGTAAGTGCTCGGTGGACTTTGCTGGGATTTGGAGTATCATTTCCACCTCTCTCCCAGGACAGGAGTGACCAAAAGCCTTTTTATTCTTTGGTGGGATAAAACCAATCCCCCATTAAACCCCCATAAACCTAAACAGTAATGCCTATGGAATGCACTGTAATGCCCCTATGCTCCCCTGTATCACCCCCTCCACCCATTCCCCAAAATTGCAGACCCTTGGGGAGCACTTGGGAGTGTTTATGTGTGTCCCTGTGCTTGGCTTTCAGAGCGGCAGCGCGAGCTGGCGAAGGCAGCACTGCGCAGGCAGGGGCTGCTGGGGGCACCCACCGCCCCGAAACTGGCACCTAAAAGGTCTGATCCCACTTTTTATCTTCCCAAAATGTGCTTTTCCCTTTCTTTGGGGAGACTGGGAAACTCAGAGGATTAAAACAAGAGTTTGGGACCTTACTCTGCAGGCTCTGTTTGGCCAGGAACAATTCCCTTGGTTTGGGCGTGATTTGGTGTTAGGGGTTTATTTGGGGAGCCTAGAGCTTGGGTGGAGTTTATCCTTAGCTGGTGGTGGCAATGTCTGGTTGGGAAGGAGCAGGATTCCTGCCCTGGAATCCATGGCTGCATTTCCATACCAAAACATATGTCCTGGTCACACTCCTCTGCTTTCCATCAGGTCGGTGAAGTTTAACAAGGGCTACACAGCACTCAGCCAGACAGCAGATGAAAACCTGGTCTCCCTGGACTCAGACAGGTGAATATCCCAGTATATTTGGGTGACTATCCCAAGATTTTGGGCAGGGGTTGCTCAGAGCTGGCTGGCTTTTCTTTGGGGGTTGAGTTTCCTTATCACACTTGTAGAGCATGCCTAGTGACACCTCTGAGTAGCAAAATGCTCCTGTTACCCCGATTTAACCAGTCCCCTGGAGCTACATTGCCAGCTCCCTTTTCCCTGCTCAGATTCCCTTGTCTGTATCCCAGACACACCACATCCCAGATGAATCTGACCTTTTCCTCCTTCCCAAACACACCACTTCCCCGATGAATCTGACCTTTTCCTCCTTCCCTTAGTGACGGGGAGCCAGGATCCAGAGGTTCCTCAGGATACTCCTCCGCCGAGGCAAGTCCTGGGGTTGACTCCGATGGTGCAGTCCCCACAGGTCCCTTATTCCCCTCACCCCCTCGAGGCTCTGGATAGGGGCTGGAAGCAGCACCCCATGGGGTGTGGATGTGTGTCCATCCTGCAGAGCTCCACTTTGTCCCCCTGCAGCAGGTGAACCAGGACCTGAGCCGGCAGCTGCTGCAGGATGGATACCACCTGGACGAGGTCCCAGATGATGAAGACCTGGATCTCATCCCCCCCAAACCTGTTGCCTCCTCTTCTTGCCCCTGTTGTTGTTTTGGAGAAAATCTCTCCTGTGTGATCCAGTAGCTGCACAAGAACAGGTCAAAATCCAGCACTTTCTTTGTCCCATGGGATGGCTGTTGGTGTCCCCCACGCCGGTGGTCACACAAGGCCTGTATGATGCTGCTTGTGGCAGAGACCAACTGACCCCAAAGGACTTTTCCTTACACTCAGCAATATCAGGGAGAGGTGGCCTGGATGGGACCTGTCACCTAGCTGAGGTGAGGAGGGAGCGCAGGCAGAGCCTGGCACCTCCATGGGGGTGTAACGGGAAGGAATTGGGACGTTCTGGGTTTGGTTCCCGTTCTCCCCAACACTGCTTTGATGTTCACTGCAGGGGAGGGGCAGCCCAGACTGTCCTAGCTCCACATAGGCTTTGGATTTGGGGAGCTGGGGAGTCTCCCTGCTGCAAACCTTAAAAGCTGCCTTAAATCATGGTCCTGCTCTTTGACTTAGAGGACAATCAGCTTCTTCTACAGAAACCTTATTTAAGTATTTCATGTCTAGAGACCTGAACTGGTTTTTTTTTTTTTTGAGGATTCATTTGTTTGTTGTTTGGGTTTGTATTTTACTTGTTAAAGGGAGCACTTAATAAACTGGATCTCATTACTCAGAGAGGATGTTGGTGCTGTGGTGGGGGGCTCAGCCCTGCTCCAGAGGGCTCCTTACCTGACTCTGGTGGGATTTTGGAGCCATCTGCTTTCCCTCATCACATTTTGCTCCAGTTTCCTGTTCCCCTGAGGAGTGACGTGGGGCACAGCTAGTGTTGGGAGGATGCTGGAGTTGCCGCCAGCCTCCTTCTCCTGCTCCTATACCACGCTGAAGACAAAGTTACCTCTTTATTCACAGCTCCAGAGGCTCTCCTGCTCCATCACCCCACCAAGCAGCCTCCTTGTATAGCCAGGAGAGGGTTGACACTGGCTCCCATCAGCCAGACTTGGGAAGAGCTCACCAGGCACCCAGGAGCAGCAGAAAGCCTCAACCTGCTCAGTTCTCTGTGCCATGTCCAAAGAGTCAAATCCATGGAATTGCTCTTTCTATACATCAGGGCTGGATTTGGGGTTTAATAGATGGAGGAAAACTTCCAAGCACGATGACTTTGCCCACACCAGTTTCTATCTACTCAAATGTGGAGTGACGGGGAGGGAAGTGTCCTGGGTCCCGCTCAGAGGAGGCAGCAGGCTCGGGAGAAGACAGGTGGAGGGAGATGCTCTCGTTGGCAGAGACGAAGAGCACAGAGCCGCGGTGCAGGGCCATCTCGGAGGCTGCGGCTGTGGAGGTGCCCACGGCTGTCCCTTGGATCACCAGCAAGATGCTGGCAGAGTCCATGGCAGAGACGAGGTACAGCTTGATGGAGGCAGGGATCTGCCAAGGGAAACAGCATCCTGGCTGGAGTCTCCCCCAGAGAGATGGAAGAGGTTCACCCCCAGTCCCACCCTTTGCTGTGTCTCCAGAGACCTCAGCTTGGCTGAGGACAGCCAAGACTTCTCCCTCTGCCTGGAGCTGCTGGAGAAGGTAAGCAAGCTCCAGGCAGAGGGAACAGGAGTAGGGCTAGAGAGACAAGCATCCCATCATCCCTGAGCGTTCCTGGGGCACTACAGAGGTGCGTGAGCCCCAGCCAGTCCTGGGGTGTCCCACCTAGAGCCCAGCCCAGACAGGAAGAGCTCTTACAGTCTGTTAGGAACTGTAGTGCTAGAACAAAGAGTAATGGAGGTAAATTGCAAGAGGGAAGTTTAGATCTTGGGAAGTTTTTTTCCTATGAGGGTGGTGAGACACTGGCACAGGTTGCCCAGGAAGGCTGTGGCTGCCCCAACCCTGGCAGTGTTCAAAGCCAGGTTGGATGAAGCCTTGAGCAACCTGCTCTGGTAGGAGGTGTCCCTGCCCAGGGCAGGGGGTTGGGACTAGATGATCTCTAAGGTCCACTCCAACCCCTTAACATCCTATGAAACTATAAAACACTGTGTCCCTACACAGACCCACTCACCTCTATCCTCATGATGGCAAAGTCTGGCACAGGTGGGTCATAGAGGTAGACATGGGGATCAAGTTGGCTCTGTGCAGCTGCGAAGATCTTGGAGCTGCTGGGTGCTGGTGTGTAGTTGAGCATCTCACACAGGGTGAGCACGTCGATGAACTTGGGGGTGAGTCCAGCACGCACCGTGTTGTCCGAGCAGGCCATGCACTCCACACAGTCTGTGGGGATGAGGACACCCCAGCCCTTCCACGTGTCCCTGTGGCCAGTTCTTGTGGGATGCCAAGTTGGCAGAGCCCCCTGTGATGCTCACCTCCGTGCAGGTAGGCATGAGGCTCGTTGGCTCCCAGGAACAAGGCCTCCCCCGGCTCCAACTTCACCAGGTTCAGGAAATAGATGGTGAAGCAGCCAATGTCCCCTGGGTACTGGGAGTGCAGCCGCAGCAGCAGGGCTCCATTGCTTCCTGATGTGTCCTTCCCTTCCGCTGCTGCGTGGGGAGAGACCAAGCACAGCGGTGGGGAAGGGCCTAGGGGGTGCCTCCTCCCCTCAACACAGCCCCCAAACCAATTCTGGGGGGGATGCCGCCAGTACGCACCTTCCTGGGAGAGCCTCTTAACAAGCCTGTTGAGTTG